TCATGGAAAACTGGATAAGTACCAGAAGATTTCTTTAAAATTTGAGTAGTAGCAAGCTTCAAAATACAAAACTGCAGTAATCGCGACAATAAATATTCAATAAATTTATGAAAATAGTCCAAAGCACTATGACAATTCCCATTGTCTTGTGAAACAATAAGCAACCACCCAAGAAGCAAGCCAAAATAGTTTGTTTTGTAGCTGTATGACCCTTTGTTCTATCATTTAAACTGACGGACCATCCACAGCCAAGTTATTTAACAAGAGGATGAAGGAAATTAGTTCAAAAATTTCAAGCATTAATTTCTGTTACTCACACTTGTGTGTTTATTGAAGGCCAGATGGTGTTTTATCAGACAGGTTTTATGCTAAGCTTTGCACTAATGCTCACGCAAAGCTGTTACAGGCTCACCTTCATCCTGTGTCGGAAACAAAAACTTGAATTGCAGCACAGGTGAGGAAGCACAGCTTTCTTTTTAATTGTGCTGAATTGGTTGCATGTTTCATCTAAATTAACTTGCTCTTTTAGCTGAGAATCACCAAGGGGGAATAAAAGTACGCAAAATTTATTTTGCCCGCATCATGTCCAGATATTATGACTTGGAACAATGAACACAGAATGTGGACTTTGGAACACAGAATGCACAACAGCCCATTACTCACAGGCTGGCAGGCAGGGCTCTCAGAAAATGCAGTTGGCATTCTTTATCACTCCAAGTGACACAACATTCTTGCACTGTCCTGCAAGACATTGTTCTGGAACGAGATTCTAGAAAAATGCATGAATCAATATGAAAGACTTTTATTTGTGATCTATAACTAGAACCTCTGAGATGTGTTCAAGTGCCATGATGGGAGCTGCATATAGGGTAGGATGATGGCAATTTTTCTGAGAGGTTCACAAATACAGCTGGTATCCCATTTACCCACTTTAAAAAGTGTTTTAAAGGGTCAATACATGTTATAAACAAATCACTGCTTATTAGTAGTTTGGTAGTAGTGATTGGTAGTAATCATTCTGTCACCAGGACATATAAAGGTCTATTATCAAAACATGTATTTCTTGTAATGAACTTCTAAATTTCAAATACTTCAATGAAGTAACACCATTACTCAAACCAATGTAATATCATGGAAAAAAAATTGACACGCTCTTTTCTTCCCCTTCTGGGGCCAGGTTTCTTCTTCCCCTGCTCTCTCCATAGATTTTTACAGCTTTGGAACAGCTACCTGCAGCGCTGCCAGAGTTGAATGTGAAAACTAAACACACAGTTATACTAAGGAGTACAAGTCAACCTTGCCCTAAATGTCCATAGCATATCCCATCTTTACATTTGAAAAATCTCAGCACATGCCTCTTCATGCCTTTGCTTATCTGAAAAATAACGTAGCAGTAACGTTTCTTTCACTGGCCTCTAAAGGTAAATTAAAGCCCATAAGCTAATAGGAAATCCTAAAAATAATTGTGCTATAAATGCAAATGGTATTTTGTCATCCACCTTCATTCAGAATGGGTTTGTTTCATGCTTTACCAATTTAGGAAGATAGGATAGAGAAACACATTTGCATAAACTTCTTTGAACTATGACATGCCTTGGTGAAAAGCTAATATGTAAGTGATTCAGAGGCTGTTAGGCTTTTTAAACTATCTTACAATATTTGGGGGGGGGGGGGGTATCCATCTTTGCAATGGAGAATAAGTTGAGGACAGAGCACAGGAACTGCTTTCCCATCCCTACAGTATGGAAAGCAGCAACCATTACACCCAAAAAGGCACAGGAAAGGGTGATGAATACATTCAGAAATATTTCTTTCGTGCTCAAAACCTCTTACATAGGACAGACTGTGTCATGTGAGTAAACTCAAGGGAAAGCTATGACATGAATTGCACAGCATGCCTCACTTTCAGTGTGATGCCAATGTTATCCTTGAAATGAAAGGTTTACAAGAAAAAAGGGGAAAAAAAACAAAACGAAACCAAAACCAATAAAACAAAACCATATACACTGAATGAGCAGAAGACATGGAGTGCAACCTCTGCGAAAGAACAAAGTGGCTGATGGGACATGAGGCTACTACTGCAAGCAGATGTATTTCCACATCAGACATCCAATGTGATTTTTGCATAGTTTGACTCACTTTTCTGTTCTACTCAGGGAAGAAACCAGACCATGTGGAAATGAATTTGGATTAAAAAAAAGTATTTAATTCTGTGCTTGCTGTAAATCATGACAGGGACTCTATACTTGCAAGGAGAAGGCACATATTCTCAAATCTGCCAAATAAACTAGATTTTATCCAGAAAGTATATATCTTTTCACAGGAAGGCAACAAAATAATACCAGAGACAATAGGAGTATTTAGTTGCCTAAAGGTAAAGATGTGATTCAGTGTTTTGTTGTATGAGGGTCAGAAATAGGACATGATGACCTTGCAAATGACATAATAACAGGCTTAAGTGATGCAGAACAAACATACAAATTACACCCCATCTTTTCAGAGATGGAGGAGATGAAAAAAACACAAAATAAAAAAAAACCAACCTCTGGAACTATTGTGCAGCTGGACACAAGAAGGCCTCTGATAGACTGTGGTAATTTATAGATGTCACAATAATTCTTTGACTAATTGCGCAAAAAACTCAGGGATTAAATGACAGAAACAGATATACATCCCCCAGAAGCGGACGGGAAAGACATGGAAAAATTACTATCAGCCAGAAAGCTAACCTGAGGCATCTCAGCTTGTAACCACCGAGAGTGTACAAGCAATCCCTGATCTCAAACCTTCATATGCAGACATCAAGAGAGATGAGTATATATACCTAAAACTATCTTAAACCAGTGGGAATATTGATGGTGCAAAGTAAAGTAAGCACAACCCCCGTATTAATTAATTAGATGAAAGAAAGATGTTTAAACCAAAACAAAAATCTAAGACATCTCAAGCAGCAGGTAAACTAATAGAAACAGTAAGTATACTCAGGGGCACAATACAGGAATACAGTATTTCTTGTACATAAGGTAATTACTAGAAAACAAGGCAAGAATGACTGTATTTAGGAAACAGCTGTATCTGATTTACATGGGACATTATCATGGCCTTATCTTGAAGGCATATTAAAGTTCTATAGTTGGCTCAGCAAATGACAAATAAAATGTTTATTAACAACAACAATGAAATAAAAGACATGCAGCGGTGAAACAGTAACATACAGAACAAGATCAGAAAAAAAAAAACAAACAAAAAACCTCCAAACAAAAAAAAAAAAAGGAAAAAAAAGCCTGATTCCCAAATACAACATAAAGAAACCCAAATATCTTAGTATATGCTTTCAGTCCAGAAGCTAATTTAATGTAATGGAAGAATGCCTCTTCAGTTCCAGCCCTTGTCCTTACCTCAACCTGAGCTCCCCAAACTTCAAGACTCCCTGGCTTACACTTTATGGACAAAAGAGCTCCCATGCTAGGTGAGACCAATGGTTTATATATCCTGATACCCTTTCTTCAATAGTGGGCAGCTGATTCAGTAAGAGATGCAGCAAAATCTACCCAGCAGGTGCCCCAACATGGGGAAGTTTCCTCCTGACCTCAGACAGCAAAGGAAACAGGAAAGTCTAGTTTACCCTCTAAATATAAAGAGTGATATAATGATAGTGATCACTTTCAAACCTTTTGTCCAACTTCTTATCATCTGAATATTTTGGCTCCCAATCCTTACAGCGTAGTCAGCATTGTACACAACCATGTGCACAGATCTGGCATCAGAAATCTTTGGTAAATTCCATAAAAATATTGAAATACATAAAATTTCCTTCACCAAAACAAGCATCAGCTAATTGCAAATCCATATCCTTATCACTGCTAGCCTGCCTCTATACCAGGGGGGTGTTTTAATACATCCTTAGAGTTTCTATGGCTCCTTAGCACAATGTGCCACCACCACCACCACCACCCCAAAACATTACTCCTATGCCACAGCTCAGGAAGCATCAGCAGATTTCCATCAAAATGCCCAGGCATTTTGAATCAAACTTCACCCACAGGTTTATTTTTCCAACTGATAGAATTTGCTTAGCTTTTCCTTATGGTAATTGTTACAATTATTAAAAATCTCTGGACCATTTACAGCATGCAAATTCCTATAAAAAACAATGTTTTACCATGTCAGTTTTGACGCAAATCAATTCTGGGTTGAGCACAAGCCATTGTGCCCCATCCTCCTGAACCCCTCTGTAAGTGATCTTCCTGCCTTTATCTTGACCCTTGAGCTCAGCTCTTCACAATGAGAACGTGCTATGTACTTGCATTGCCTAATATCATCTTAAAACCACTTTAACACTTAGTCATTATAATATAAAATACTTAATAGCTCAATTTTCAAAGGTGCACTGAGTATTAAAGCCAAGGTAATCAGATAACATGCAGCTTAGGTAGTATGACTGAAACAGTGAATTTAGACAAGCCAGCACAGCCTGGTCATCCAAGGCTTAGAAGTCACCAAAAACTCACAGGTAAATAGCTAAAAGACTGACTTGCATATAAGAACCCATGAGTATACCTCCCACAGAGACAGAGGCATACAAAGATTGAATGCAAGTAAACACAAGACAGGGATGCTTCTCACTAGAACTTAAAACACTCCTTTTCACAGTCTTCACCATCATAATTTAGTAAGCAACTGAAAAGCATTTCCTTTGGTAGGCAACATGTTTAATCTCTGCTGAGGCAGAATATAAAGCAGCATTCCAGCTACCAAATTCATTTTAACTTGTGTCTGTGCTGGTTTTTCATTTCATTAATTGAAGAACTTCCATCAGCTTGAATGGGACCAGGATCAGACCCTTGAGAGACTGATTGTTTTTGAAGCACTGCAAGCACTAAAACTTGTCACAATATTCAATACTTTACTATGACTTTAATTGCCTCCACCACTACCATTGGACTCTGTTAATCATTTCTCAATCCTTTTATGAGTGAAAACAACAAAAAATAAGGATGTATGGTTTTTAAATTGATTTTGTTGTTAAATAGTTGAATTATTTGAACAATATTTCAAATGGATGAAACTTTGAAGACTGCTGTAAGAGGCCTTTGCCCAGGGCTTCTCAGTTAACCTTATTTAAAATTACCACAAAAAAAGATGCACAGAATTTTATTTCACTTTGACGATGTTTCTAAAAAGAAAAATAAAGTTAATTATGGCTGTGCATTTATGGCATCTATATATAGCTGCCAGTTAACAGGATTTGCATCCCGCTGAACAAATGCCAACAAAGTAAGTGATTCTGTGAACCCACTTATATACAGATTTCCTAAAGTGCCATGCAAAAAGCTTTTATTAAAAATGATTGAAATTGCTCATATCTTAAAATAACTTTAGCGCATGATGTAAAATATACTATAGTCAGGCTGATTTTTTGGAATTTCAGAAGGTAATTAGCCCCCATTCTTGGAACAAGAGCTCTGCTATTATGATTACCGTGAACTATAAAATTTTCTTTTCACGTGTATCTACTTTGTCAGAGATAACCCAAGAAATATTACTGTTAGAGAACAACTGCACAGAGAACATTTTTAGTAGTCTGATTTGGCCACATATATAAAAAGACAGTTTTCTATACTTACGTGTTTGAGATGACAACTGAACGAACATCAGGGTGCGCTTTGATCTGCACAAAAGAGAGCTGGGCAAAACTTATTCATAAACCACAAAATTTCTGTGAAATGTAGCTTCAGCTTGAAGCTTTCTCAAATTCAACCCAAACTTGCAAAGTAAATTTGTTCAGATACAGATTTAAATTCATTTTTATGGCTGTTTCTGGGTCAGCCCTACTCATCCACCCTTACCACACAAACAAAAAAGATGGACGACAACCTATTTTAATCCATTAGTTTGTAAATGGAGAGAAGTAGCTTTAGGCAGACCCCTACAATGAAATACAGACAGGTTTTATTTGCTGAAGGTCACATGAACTCTCAGCCTCCAGGACAGCTATCCTGGACAACCTAATGATTGCATGGGGCTTTCAATCTTCCTTATTCATTCTTCTGCGCATTGCAGAAATATGTAATTATGAAATAAATACCAAACCAGACATAATAGCTCACATGATGCCACTTCCTAGGTAATTTATCCCAACTCCCAGCAGAAAGTGATTTTTTACCAAAAGAAATTGGCATTTTCTGTATCTCAAATTATTTGAATAATCTACAGATGTGGCAATAAAATGCTTCATTCTACAAACAGCATATTCTTGTTAACACCAGTTGAACATTCGCCTTAGTTTTCTGACTCAGGGGGACAAATACTACCGACCCCAAGTTAAAGCCTTTGAAGCAGTTTATCAAGTATTTCAATCAAATAGTTGATCAAGTAAGGTATGGCAAAGAAATTATTTGCAGAACCCTACCGATCATCCCCCCCCCATCTGAATAAGCAATAATGGAAAGAGCAGATTAAAAAAAAAAAATAGCAAAAAGCTTAATACTGAAACCCACTTAATTTTTCCCATCAAAGCTAAACTGAGAAGTTTAAAGACTGAGTTGTTAATTTTACCTCTGTCTTTATTCTTGTGTTGAATGTCCTTGAAAGTCATTCCATCTGGACACCTCACATAAAGCTCTGCTTGTAGCATGAGGCAAGGTTTGCAATGGCATTTCGCACCTGACATCTTCTTGTGAAAGTAGCATGAAGCAGATAAATAGAGAGAGGGGACAGCCTAAAATATTTTAATCCAGCTCCATTTACCTAAACTCACACATACAGAATCACTGCTAACTGCCACAGCCAAGCTGAGCCAGGGAAAATAGAAAGCTAAAAGCATCGTAAACAAGGGCAGTTGTACTTATAAAACCAAAGAGCAATGGAATTTGTGTGCTATGCTGGAAGGCAAGAAATAGATTATTTTTTAGGTTGTTTTTTTTTTTTACATTTATACTGGAGCCAGTAGCATTTGGGTCAAGGCAGATGTACAACACAACCCTTGGCTAAGATCATATTCACTGTACATACACTGAACAAACAGAAGAACTGAGCTGCCAGTAAACCTCTAGTTCTGCATCTGTCTTAGTGAATTCGGTTTACCTCAACTGAGCACAGCTTGTACATTTATTGATACAGTTTGTTCATTATTTACCTTCCTCATGACCATCTAGACAAACTTGGATATTGTTTCCATAGCTACCATCTGTACATCGTTTAAACTCTCCCCTGACCCAGCCACAAATTCCTACATACGCTTCTTTCTAACAGCTTTGTGCTGTCAAGAGTACCAAATGCTCATTATTCCTTCTAAATTCAGAGAACCTGACTTGCAACATACATTCAAGGACTTTCACAGGCCACATCTTACAGCTTACATAAAACATTGCAACTTCAGTGGAGCTAATGGAGCAGCAAAAGACATAAGAATGAAAACCTTGTGCAGGCTAATCAAGCTCTGCATACAACAAGGACCTCTGAACATGAGCTGTTACATATCAGAAGCTGGAAAAAAGACAGTGCAGCCAAGTCCAGAGAAACTCAAATGTCTGACTCATGAATAATGGATTGTCAGGCAACGCATGAAGCACTTATATATATACTTTACTACTTAAAAGCAAAAAAGCAAGTCTTACATTAAATTATGTGTTTTGCCAGAAAAATGATCACCTGAAACAGGTACAAAACAGTCACATCTCCAAACATTTCAAGGTAAGGAGCACAGGAAGCCAGTCATTGTTTGGAAACAGGGTAGTATTTGTGACACCTGAATTGTTTCACTGCACCTCAGGCAGCAATCCAAAGCTACTAAACTATGACCACAAACCACATCGGATTACAACAAATCTAGGAGATTTCGTCATAACAAGAGTCTATTTTTTGACTAAAGTACATGGGTATTGGAAGGGACATAAATGTCCTTTTGTATTCTGTAAGTATGTCCTTCAGTTGCCTTACCAGTTATATCTGGAGGTATCACACAAGAATGTAGCAAAGCACAGCACATCATACAATCAAGACCCATTTTACCTAATGCCAGAAATAAACTCCAAACAATAATGCACTCTTTCAGCAAAGCTTTTCATTCACGTAATTCATACATAAATCTCCAAATAACGTGTCCTAAAGAAAAATGGTTTAAGTTCCCCATTTCCAAACTTTTACGTTTTTTTTAGTAAAAAAAGAAAAGCAGACAAAAGAATAAAAAAAAAAAGAGAAATTAAACATTGGAAAAGAAAGTGCCTCCAAAGCAGACCTCTGCTAATGGAAGTTGATTATATAAACCCATTCAGAAAGTCATTCAGACTTTACCTCTGAATTGGGTTTGGCTTGAGTCTTGCTGCTGACATTAAAAGGCAACTCCAGAACACTATTAGAAGAATATTCTTCCCATCAGAGAAGCATTTTCCAGCCTAAATTTAGTCAGTTAATATCCTTTTCTCTGGGCCAGCAGTGTCCTTTAGCTTAACCACCCCTTTTCTGACCCTAGCATTCATCTCTGCTATGCATTTATACAGATCTATTACACATTTCCCTCCAGCCTTCATTTTATGAGGCTAAACAACAAGCTCTCTAGTTTCTCTCCTAAGGCTGCTTTTTGATCCCCACATTTATCCTAATCAAAACAACGGAGTTTTTGACTGCAACAATCCAATACTACTGTAAATGAAGACAAAGCTATTAATAAACAGAAGCTTAAGCGTTAGGCTCCTGAAACTCCGTTTGGACAGCTAGGAGGTTCAAAACTGAAAAATACATCAGTATTCAACAGAAATTCAGAAATTCAACAGAATTTGTTGGGTGGGTTATGCTGAATTTTTAAAGGAAACAGAAATAATCTTGCATCCCAATTTTATACGATATTTACCATTAAAAAATCTTTAATTTTAGCTTGAGTTTTTGTTATATTTCCTTTAATATTGAAAGCATCTTTATATTTTTCATAGATGTGATGTTATAATTTTTCTAGTTTGTAGAAAATCTGTAAGATACAGGAAATGAGGGGTGCAATTCCTATACTTTATGAACTCTCTACAGTCCTGTTCCCATCTGAATTAGGACATTGTACCAAGGGAGTGGGGGAGATGTTAAATCAAGTCTGCTGCTTTGCCTTTGCACTGAAGTTGCTTCTTGCAGACATCAAGTCTCATACAATGAGGAGTATCACAGGAACCCTTTGCTAGGCTCAGGTCTAACCAGCATTAGGACTGTAACCCAGGGAAGTCCTGAGCTACAGGGTAGTGCAGTTCAAGAGAAAACATAAGGAAAACAGACTTTTATGAGAGGTCATCTCTTAGAACCAGTTAGATTTGGATTTTCTCAGAAGAACAGATATGTACTGTTGCATGGAAATCTTTCCAAACAGAAACCAGAAAAATGTACCTCCACCCTCTTCTGCTTCTGAAGGAAGAGGATGCACGACAGCTCTGTGCTGCCTGGAAGGGTGTAAACTTGATATGGTGGGAAAGGACAATGTGATATTGTACAGAAGACAAAGACTCCAGTACTCTGCTGAATACAATGGAAACAACGTGATTGAGACCACTTCAAGAAAGTTATTCCTTGCTCACTAACTTGCTCCTTTGATTTACCCTGCAAGTGAACTTCCAGGAGTCCCTTCTGAGTCACTATGTTCTTCTCACTGCAGCTCACTGACGGGTCGAACTGAAAGAGGAACTCAACACAGAGCCGTATCTGTTGTGCTGCTCTGGAGTGTTGACAGACTTTCTGTGGTTGCTTTAACTTCATTGATTACTCTTTGAGACCTTGTATTTATAAGAAACAGCATGGGGGGGAAAAAAAAAAGAGGAAGGTAAAAAGGGAAAAATGAAAGGGCAAAGGAACTTTAACAGTGAGATTAGCAAAAAAGACATGGTGTCAGCCAGGAGTTGAAACTAAAACACAAACAGAGCACTTTTTGAGGACTTTATTATATGCGTGCTAAAAGGGCTAAGAAAAAATAAAAGAGAGGGAGTTTTATTATTAGCCCAGTTTTATTGTGAATGCAGTAAAATTGAGGATTTTATTTTAGAGGAGCTTAAACTTTTTTCTCTTTTTTTTTGTAATGAACTCATCTGTTTTCACTTTGAAGTGACATCTTTGTTTAGAAAACTGCCAGCATTCAATTAGAAAGATTTTAAAGGCTTGAGAAAATAAAAAATTTTGCTTCTTCCCTACTCCCCATCCCCTGGTTACCAAAAGAAACAAAACCAAATCCACCCAAGTCAATTTGAATGAAAACGCCTCTCTACTTTGGCAAAAAAAAAAAACAACAAAAAACCAAACCAAACAACAAACCAAACAAACCCAAATCAGCACTGCATCAAATACAATGTAAAAAAAACATCCTGCTAGTAATATGAAGAGAAAATTTCCTTCCTTCTTACTGTACTCTGTAAGTATTGGGGGGGGGGGGGGGAAATCAAACAAAACAATACCTTCACTATAGCTTATATTCAAAACTATCAACTTTTTGTCTGGAGATAGACTTCTGGAGAGTCTAGAACCACTCTTATAGTTGAATATTCCCATATAACACACACACTCACTCTCTCTCTTGCCCTTTCTGTCTCTTTTAGGGCAAGAAAAGCAAGACAGCAGGCAAAACTCTGCATACACGTTCATATTTCTCTTGCATCTCTTTTATTTCCCACAGCAGTTGCCCTGAAAGAAG